CAGGGTCCGAACAGTAAGTCCTGTAATCCGGGACTTTTTGTTTTAATCCACAGCCTGCTGCATGACGTGATCTCATGTTTCAGCCCACAGCACGGAGATGAAGGCGGCTGATTCTTTAATCTCAGCAGCAGCTTCATGATTCAGATGAGCAGTTCTCAATTTTATCAAATTATTTCAATCAGAAACCGTTATAAAATGACAAACGATAGATTTCTGGTGGAGTGTGGAATCACAGGGAAATAATCCTGCAGAAACTCAGTTTTCTCTGGGCCTCATTTTTTATAATCCACAAAGGAATCAGATACATGAGAAATGTGACTCTAGAATAAAATCAGGTTATTTGGGTTCTGCAGACATGTCTGAAAAGTTAATTTAATTCAAGCAGCTGCTGGAAAACCCTTTGTCTCAGRAATTAAATGATTATTTATTTTTGTTTCTACCACCAACAACCTGTAGTTAACCAGAGGTAGAAAYTAAGCTGCTAAAACTACCTGACTGAGTGGTGAGTGCAAAAACAAATTATTAAGTCTTGCCACTTATTTTTTGCTCCCTTCAACTTTGAAGACTTCACTGTTCTCRGCAAAAGAAAAAACAAAACAAATTGTAGGATGACATTTGCTGTCAGCTCCTGTTATCAACGTCTCGTGCTCCTCTCAATAATCTCATTAGCTCATTTTTTATGCATGTATGTGTCGCTGCTGGCAGCTCGCACGTGACGATGTTGTTTCTTCACCCAGCTCCCTCTTATGTAACGAGCGACACCGTGTGCACTGACGCAGAAAATCTGATTGTTTCTCCTCTGTCCTTTTTTCTGCTGATTTGCATGTTGTCCTTTTCTACWCTGGAGAAATGAGACACTTCCTAACATCCTATTATTTTATGGTACAGAAAAAAAACATCAGGTGCAGATAAACTACACRTTTCCCAAAACCAGAGGTGTCACGTAATGAAGTACAAATACATTGTTACTTTACTTAAGTAGAAATGGTTATTTATACTTTACTGGCGTGATTAATTTTCAGCCAAATTTTGCTTCTACTTCTTAGATTTTCACACAGTWATCTGCATGAAAATCATTTCTTTTTCACATTGGCTTGTTTTTTATTCCATATCTCTATCCAGATATATGGCACCTCCTGAATAGAGAGAGTTTGATTGTGGTTGGATGAGAAGTATAAATATACAGCGGGTAAAATAAGTATTGAACACGTCACCATTTTTCTCAGTAAATATA